ATATGTCAAACATAACATAGAATATTTTATTTAGACGTTCAAAAAGTTAGGATTTAAAAAAAAAAAAAAAAAGAAATCCTGCAATATTTTATTTCCTATTGCTTCTGCCTTTTTCTCTAGGAGTCTTTTCCTCTGCTCAGTGTTGTACACATCAGGGGTGGGTTCTACTTACCTTTACCACCGGTTCGCAACGGGATCGCGCTCTCTCGCTTCAATCATGTGCGCGCCTTGCTTCTGTGCAGATCACTGATGATGACATCTGGGGCAGTGGGTGGGGCCTCCTGCCAGTTTTACTACCGGTTCTTGCAAACCGGTCCGAACCGGGGGCAACCCACCACTGGTATACATACATACATAGCTGCATGCACAGCTGTTTATATTTTATTGGAGAGAAATATGACCTTTCCCCAGATGTTTCTTTATTTCAGTGGACTTCTGTTACATCTATTTGGATGCTTTTTTCTTCTTCCAATATTAAGACTTCATAAGTATGATCATGAATTTGTGTCAATGGGCATACACTTGGAAAGTGCATTGTTAGTCTCTCCTAAACTGCTTGGGAGAAAAATATACTGACAGGAAGGCAATAGAAATAATGTCATGATTTCTATCACACCTGACTAGGTGGCTCAATGGCTAAGACACTGAGCTTGTCAATCAGAAAGGTTGGAGGTTCGAATTCCTAGTGCAGGTCTCCTGCGTGAGCAGGGGGTTGGACTAGATGACCTCCAAGGCCCCTTCCAACTCTTGTTACTGTTTATATACATTTTATTTCAATGCCTAAGAAGAACCCCTAGAAATCCATTATATAACAGATTCCTGAATTGTTGTTATCTCACTTGTGTAAATTATATTGCAATTTTTTAAGTTGTTATCTTCACATATTTTTGTTTTTAAATGGTTTGACAGCTTGTTTGGCTTTTTTAAAAAAAAATAAAATAAAACTGCTAATTGTCATTTGAAATTCATAAACAGCAAATAACAGGAACCATCCGCTACTTGAGGATTTGAACAGACGGGAGCTGTTACATTTTCAGGAGCCAAACTTCTGAGTTTTCAATATGAACAAAGAACTTTTTTTTTTCTTTTTCATCCCTCTTGACCAACTACATCTATGGTCTCCATGGATTGTGCTTAACTTTCAGGCATGATTAACTCTTTCAGAATATATTTATGTTTACATTTTCTTTTTCTTTTTTTGGACAAAACTATATCTACATTCCTACTACTTACCATTTTATCTGAAGGAGGAGAAGAAATATGGAGGAATATTTCTTATTTTCAGGGAGATATATAGATTTCATTGAAATATTGAAGCATTGGTTTCCTTAGAAATATGTCATTACTCTTAATAAATAGATTAAATAGGACAATGTAACTCCATATTTTCTAAAGTTTGGCAAATGTTTAGATGGCAACTACAGTTCCTTTCAGAAATGTTACTACCATCTGCCATTTGCCTTTTGGCAAGCAATAAAACAAGCAGCACACTTTAAGTAATTTCTTCCTGTTTTCTGTTTATCTCATTCCCATTTTCCTGTATGATGCCAATAGCTTATTTTTTTCCCAGTTATAAGCAAGTACAGTGTGATAATCTTTCTATCTCAGAACTTGGGACACTTTAGTGATATTAATACAATATTCTAGCTAGGTGTGACCTGGGATTTTTTGTGGGGGAGGGCAGGGTAAGAAATTCCCCAATGAAGAATCTTGAATATCTCAGAAGCTTATCCACCGTTTTGTGACCTTTTGGCTATTCCTAATAAAAATACAAGTCAGCTACACCTGTGAGTTCACTAAAACTTAAAATAATTTTATAAGAAACACATCTTCAGTTAATTAAAGTAGTAATACCCTGCCTTTGTAAAGTAGTAATACTCTGCCTTTGTACCTACATGGATCTTCATATTAGCTCATAACAAATGTTTGAATGATCTCTTCCTTTTCAGTGATGGATCATAAATTATATGTTGGGGCCTATTAGTTCTCATCTCTCATACTTTCCCATCCACCTCTTTTTCAAAGTATCCCAGAGGAGTCCTTTACAAAAATTGGGGGAGGCATTCTTACTTACTATTCTTACAGATCAAACAAAACAAACCCCTCGGTTTAACTATGTTGCTTTTCCTACAATGCTTATGAATCCTATTTTTGGGGAAAAAAATCATTCTTACAATGTATCATATATTGGAAAGGCTGAACAATCTTGAGATATATATAGGGTACTTTTTTGTTGCATATAATGTTTATCTTGCATATTTTTATATTTATACATTAACTAGCTGTACCCAGCCACGTGTTGCTGTGGCCCAATCTTGTGGTATACAATATTTTTTGACCGAGTGCCATTAATGTCTCTCTGTTGCTCAGGTCATGGCTATTTTGCCTCTGTGCCAGTTTGGCGCGGGTGTAAGAGCTGGTTTCCCAGCTTGCCAGTATAACCGCCTTCACCTTCGCAGCTCTCCGCACCACAGGCTGAGTCGGGGTCCCTGCCAAAGGTACGGCATACTCCGTTAGTCGGGAGGATGCTTGGCGGTGGTTGATATTTCCCACCATTTTGCTTTGCTCAGTGGCAGCGCTGAGGGGAAAAGACCTGGCTCGCGCCTGCCATGGTGGTACTGCGACGTTAAAGTCCAAAAAGATAGTATAGCATGTGTTGCTTTTACGTCCAACATATGGCGCTGTTTTTCAAAAAAAGCATGTTTTTACCTGTCACAGGTGTGACATCTATATAATATAGGTATATAAAAACACGTGCGTATTCGAATGCAACGTTGTGTCAAAATTTCAAAGCAATCGGTGAAGAACTTTCGGAGATTTACGATTTTGAACAAACGAACATTTACATTTTTATTTATATAGATAGATTGAAAAAAAATCTCCATAAAATATCTAAGGATCTTATGTAGATCGAGCTGTATGAATAATATTTAATGTTTATTTATTACAAAATAAGATTTTCCTTAAATTGTGATTAAAAAGGATAACCACTTAAGCAACTAAGAGTAATGATATTCTGCTAAGAAGAGATATAAGGTTGCAATAACAAGTATTTTTCCTTTGAAGCTCTTGAAAGATGGTTTCTAAATTGTGTTCCTAAAGCTATATCAGTGACAATCTCCCGTCATCCTTAAAGGATGTTCCTCATATAGAACACATTGCAATAATTGGCATGGGAATGAATTCATGTCTCAGGTTTGCTGATAGTTTAGTCCAAACTGATTAAAAGCATTCCAGGCCATTAAGGCTATTTGAGCATCCAATGAAGATGTACCATAGTGTAGTCTCAAGCCATTATCTACTCCCAAACTAACACTTACTCCAGCACACCGTCCTCAGAGCTCCATTTTCTTGGGTTTCTCACTAGCCCTCATCCTGCAGATTCTGGTCCTCTGATCGAATGTAGTAGGCTGGATTGACAGGATGGACAGAGCGCATTCCAGAGGAACAAAGGACAGTCAGTCCACATATCTTGTGCAAGAGAAAGAGGATGAAGGGATACTAGGGTTTCTGACTATATGGTAGATACATAAGTAGAGTGCTTCAGTTTGGCAAGACTCTGCCCAAAGTTATGGAAATATATATATTTAAAAATCAACATGGAAAAATCATTAAATTGCAAGAATCAGTCTTTCTTGACTTTTGAGCCTGACAGATCCAGAATTTATATATGCCCATCTAAATCTGAGGAAGAGTAATAAAGAATGGTTAGAAATTACTTGATAGCTTCACCAATGGCTTCATACCAACATTAACTAGCAGAAGGCCAACCTGACAATATTCTGTAGCTCAATAATTATGGAACCAACAGAACTTTCCCATTATCAGTTTCTACAACTAATCAAACTCTCCTTTCATTCTTATTTCATTTGACTGCTATATTCTTGTTTCACATTGATGTGTGACCAGTGGTGGGTTTCAAATTTTTTTACTACCGGTTCTGTGGGTGTGGCTTGGTGGACATGGCAGGGGAAGGATACTGTAAAATCTCCATTCCCACCCCACTCCAGGGGAAGGATATTGTAAAATCGCCATTCCCTCCCCACTCCAGGGGAAGGATATTGTAAAATCGCCATTCCCTCCCCACTCCAGGGGAAGAATACTGTAATATCGCCATTCCCTCCCCACTCCAGGGGAAGGATACTGTAAAATCGCCATTCCCTCCCCACTCCAGGGGAAGGATACTGTAAAATCGCCATTCCCTCCCCACTCCAGGGGAAGGATACTGTAAAATCGCCATTCTCTCCCCAATCCAGGGGAAGGTTACTGCAAAATCCTCATTTCCTCCCAATCGGCTGGGACTTGGGAGGCAAAGAATAGATGGGTGCGGGGCCAGTCAGAATTTTTACTACCGGTTCTCCAAACTACTCAAAATTTCCACTACCGGTTCTCCAGAACTGGTCAGAACCTGTTGAAACCCACCTCTGTGTGTGACACTATAATATCCTTAGAGATATATCACTTATACATCAAGACACCCAGGTATCTACACATGGATACTTCTTAAATCAAAAGAAGCTTTATGTGTTCCACATGACTCGGAAGGAGGAAAGAAGTCTCTGAAATCAGATATTAAAGATACTTTTCTCTAGAAAGCGTTATTTAAATCTGCTGTCATCACCTAAATTATTTTTTTCAGTATGGTATATAATAGATTATATTATATATTTATATTTATACACACACACACACTTTGCTTCACATACTGAATCAGAGATTCATAGAAACCTAGATCTTAGCCTATGCCACCCAAGAGAACTTATTCACTTCTTATAATATCATCTTTCAAAATTCTGCTATTTCCAAATAATTAAAAAATACCTATAATTAAGAATAGCTTTGCTATATCTGAGATATAGCATTGCTATATGTGAGATTACTAGTAATAAAATTTAATTATATTAAAACTTTCCTGTAATTTCGTCAGACCACCATCTTATACACATGGCAGTTCACTGACATGTGTAGCTTCTTCTCATTCCTGCTTTTGTTTTTTGCAGAACCCACGGGCATGATACCAGTTTTGACAAAAGGAGTAAATGCATCCTCAAGTAAGTCAAGTTGTATAACTTGCTTCCCTAATGTTAATTCTACAGATTCAGGTTTTTTCCCTAGCCTTTCTCTGCATCATTATACTTTGGATAGAGTTTAGACCTATCATTGGGGGGGGGGGCGGAATGCAGCTGTATCCTGGATCTATGAGTTGAATTCTCAACTGGAATTTAGTTGAGGTTCTCATCTCTAAAAATGCCCTTAAATTATAAGTTGTAGCAGCCTATTACAAGTTGCAACTTGCCAGGTATTTATCCTTTCTTTGTCTTCCTTGTCAAAATCCTTTCTTTTTTTGGCATGAGATATTAATGCCTCTCATTTCCTCTAGTGTTGCATGCATCCTCTAACAAAATAACATTATTTAAAAAAAGCTGCTATTTATTATATTTAGATATTTTCTTTATCTAGCTTACATTGCCTCTGTTCCACATCTTGGATTGTATTTACTTTTTAAAGCTTCCTTTTCACAGAAATTAGTTTTTAAGAGAGGACCTACATTATTTACAGTGGGGCTACCTACATTTGGAGTTTTTAAAACTGTCTCAAAGACAGTTTCCACTCTGACAGCTGTTTTATATGCTCATATTGCATGCTGCTGCTTGTTTTATTCATCTGTCACTTTTGTGGCACAGCAGAATAATGAATGCTGCATCTTTCTTAGCTTTTCTGAGAGTCTTTTGTCTAACACTGCTAGTTCTGGAGTAGTAGCATTCCGAAACTAGAGCAGAGCACGTGGCCTTCTGAATGCATGTTTTGAAATGTTACTGGATTTTGGCATGCGACTACTTTTTGCTTTTCATAAAGATCCTCTGTCTTGCCTTTCCTGTGGTTCAGTCTCTCGTATCAGACTGAAAATTCAGTCACTCCTGTTTTTATTTCTCTTTTCTTCAGCTGGTTATCAGATCTGGACTTCGTCAACTTGTCAAGTTAATTTCATCCATTCAGATTTTTCTACATAATTTGAATTATCATTATAAAAGAAATGTTTGTGTTATTATCCAAGTTTCATTTCAGATGTGCAATTCAATCTGAAAAGGTGATTTCAGTGGATCATTTTTGAATCGGATACCCATAGTCTAATTATTTAAAATTTATCAACATTACATCCACTGTTAAACTTCTTTCATTCTTTTGTATTTTGTTCCTAGTTCAGATTTTTCCAAAAGCAGTGCTGGTCATGAATTCTTTACAGATGTTGAGTCATCTAAACATCTGAATTTTCTTATGTGACCCAGGATAAATAATCTAGTCAGAAATTAAATTTATTTAGAGTACTCTCTATCAATGTAATAATATAGTGGTCCTTCAGTTCAGTATAGTGATATCCTATCATACTCTTACAAATGGTTACAAGTATTTTCCTTAATTCTGCTAGTTTTCTGCCAAGAATAAGTAATGCTTTTAAGATTAATTTTTGCTTTAATGAATTATTCCCAGTGTGATTAGGACCACATGTAATTTCTTTGTAGTTCCCTGCTATTCGAACCTGCTTTTTCAACAATTTTCCTCAAAGCATTTGACCTTCTTAGGTAGACAAATTCTGCTTCATAGATAGGATTTTTCCATCTCTATTACCATGTTGCTTTCTGTGTATTGCAGAACTCATAGACAAGATTTCTGCCTCTACTGAAGGAACAAATACATCTTCTAGTAAGTATATAGTACTAGCAGTCTTCATGAATCTATAGCCTACTTCTATTTTTTCAGTAAATATACAAAATATATACTGATCCTTGGGATACAAAACTAATTGCAAAAAGAGTCAGATTTTTTAAAAAACCACCTTCCCCAACTAGTATCTTTCAGATGTATTGTTTATTGCCACTCCCCTATCATCCAAAATATTGCCATAAAAATATCCATCACATCATAAGCTAAAACCTATTACATCTGGGAGGCACAAGATGCAGAAAGATTGCAAAAGGAATCACTTCCATAAAAAGAGAAAGCAGTTTGCTTCCTTTCTTTAAAAAAAAATCTTTTTCCCTTTTCCCCCTTTCCTTTCTAGAAAGGTTTTTTTTTCATAGCAGACTGTTTCATTAGGTTTTCTGTCAATGCTTTTAAGCAGATTGTGGAAGCTGTAGTTACTAGTGTTTCTGACTCCAGAATATGCAAATAATCCTAGCCTTTAGATAATTAGATGATCTTTTTACATAATCAGAGTGCACAGAATAATTGCATATTGGAAGAATGCCTATGTTGAAAAGGTGTTTTATTAAAAATATCACTTCTTCGTTGCAGCCAAGAATCATGATAGTATGAAAGTTCTAAAGACACTTTCTTTCATAACTATACTGTGCTTTGTGTACTATATTATGCTTCAAGAAGGAGTTCTTCGCTCATACTAATGTGTTTTGTTGAATGATCCTTTTGACTTCCTTGAAGAATATTAATAGTAATGCTAGCAATATTAAGATGACATTGTCACAGATAGATCAATGGATTTGAGCTGAGGAGATTGTGGGTTATATCCAACATAATAATAGTGCAAGATACTGTGTAATTTTGGCCAATCACAAGACTCAGTGAATAAGATTGTAGGGTCTAGTACACAGCTATCAAACTCAATTGCGTCTCATGACGTATCATGACTTTTTTGCCTTTGTGGGGTGAGCGTGACCTGCGCATGACGTATTCAGCCTGTAGGCCACCAGTTTGACACCACTGGTCTAGTATATCTGAAGGGTTTATTCCTATTACCCAGAAATTCTAAGATTACCTTCTAAGGATTTTCTGCAAAGCACAGACTTCTATCTAATGACTTTCTAATGAATTAGGCATATGAATATGGTAAATCAGATAAATGCATTGTATGAAGGGTTGGCTTGAGTGCAGTTAAACTAGGATTCACATTAAAATAAATTTGAAGAGGTATTTTGGGGTGAAATAAGACTGAGGAGGAGATGAAAATTGGAACGATTAAAAAAACAGAAGGTCTTTGGACAGATGAAACAGTTGAAGAAGGAAAGGTTTTTGGAAGGAATATTGTGTGAAATAAGGAAAGTGGAAAATAGGCTAGTGGAAATAATAATAAGACATTGGAACTGGATGCATAATAAGACGAGTCCTTAACCTTTCATTTCTGTTGTAGCAAAAATTCTTTTAATGTAGATGTCTAGTTTTATAATTTTAAATATATATATATATATATGTTTTCAGGAAGATCTGAATGTATTTTCTCAGGAAAACTAAAGCTCAGAATAAGCTGAAGTTAGCAAAAGTTGCTAAAAAAATTTCTTCAGATATGTTCAAAAGAAAAGGGAAAGAAAGGCAACATACCAGCTACTTGGTATGGGTAGCAAATGATATCAAGGAAAAAAAATAGAACTGAACAATTCTTATTTGATCCAATATGTATATTTTACATGAAGTTTTAAAGTGGTATAAAAACTGTGACTCCAGCTCAAGCTCCATGTCAACATAGTCAAAGAACATCTGTCAACTTTGATGGGTTCAAATATCAAAGCCAGATAGATTCTAAGATTGGGGATATTCTATCCTTTGGTTGATGTCCTAGATGGACATCTGCGACATTGGACAGGGTTTTAATGGCCCATAATTCCAATTCTGTGGTTCTGATCAGACTCCCTAGTCTCTTCATATCATTGTAACAGAAGAAAGTAAAACTTGTTTATGATTCCCAACCCTAGGATAAAAGAGTTAAATAGCAAGAACATTTTAACAACAGGAAAGAAAAATAAAGTTAGTCCCAAATTGTCCAACTACATTGTTGAAAACAATGTGAAAGTGCCATGAGATTAAAGTTACATGCTCAAAATACCACTTTCAATGTTAGAATTGGGAATAAGTGATTATGGTGTGGAATGGATGAGTGGATAGATGGATGGACGTAAGAATAGATTTTAATTTCACCCTTCCACCTTCGTACTGTGAAAAGATCATTAAAACACTCTGATTTAAGATCAAAAATCTGATAATCCATTACTACACAATTGCTTTTATATTTTGTATCAATAGAAAACTTTATTTCTCTCATGCTAGACTATGTCTAGCCTTTGTATCTGCCCCAATACTCATGCTGTGTTCTGATCCCCAAATTCATGAAAATCATAATCATAATTGCAAAAAATACAAATAAATTGTGAAGTATAATGCTACTCTGTAACAATTGTTGAGAGCTAATATTGGTCTAAGAGGAGATATTGATTAAATAACAAAATAGTTCCTTATATTTTAGCGAGGTATCTGTGGTGGCCTGTATAGTATACAAATATTTTACTGATAAAATGCTCTAATACTGCGGCAAGTTCCAACCGCAATTAAAATTATTAGGATAAAATAAAAGTAAAAATTATACAAATGCTATAAAATCAGTATACTTCAAGATATGTTTATAATACCATAAAAACACTTATAGAGATATAAAACCTTATACCTAGCAACCCTACCATTTGTCTTTACCTATAGGATTTACAACAAAGTATTTTCATTGTTTTAGTCATATAGTACAATAATGAAAGTAGGAAAATAGCTGTTTATTTCAAGCAAAGGAGCAAAGGCAGGGCATTCTGTTTTAAACTCCCAGTAAATTATTCATTCCTAATCTCTGTGTATTTGGGATTTATTTTTCCATTGTATGGATTTTGTAATTACTGATTTATATTTTCTCTTCTCTATCCATACATCTGCTCCTTAATACATCTGATAAAGTTTTGTGAATGTTGGTTTCTCCCCCAAGAGCTTTCTCTTCTTCTGGCACCAGGCTAATATAGCTACTCTTCTGGAATTTCTATGTGACCTTGTAAGGTAGAACACATGTATAATTTATCAATTTAGGGAAGTTATACTTCCTTGCTAGTTGGGCAGAATACATTTATTTCATTAGCAAGCAGCCTTTTTCTATAATAGGATTAGTGTAAAGAATATATCAGCCAGGCACTCTTCTTGGACACGCTGAAAGGCTTCAGTAGAAAAAAGTATATGTCAGCTGTCAGAGTCTAGCTAAGAGGTTGCTGGTAATCAATGGCCTCGTGGGATTGATGGAGCCATCTTTCAAGTGGAAGACTGCTGTTCTTCCTGCTATGGGCTCAGATTCACATAGGCAAGAGGGGGGGAAAAGAAGCTTATTAACTCTATAAAAATACCATCAGCTACTACACTACTAAAAAGACCTAGAATGAATGACCAAAATCAAGCAAAACCAGAGAACCAAACTGGGTTTGTTTTATCTCTTTAGAAATGAAACCTTTCTAGGATAGAATTCTGCTTAACCTGCTCTTCTGCGTCAAGCTGACAGAGATACATAGTCCTTTATAAAATTGTGACATTTTAAAATTTCATATTACATCTTATCAAAAAGCATTTATATCTTATGAGTTTGATGTATCATCAACTTATTTTTTTCCCATCATGAATTTGCTATATTTTGAAAATTCAATAGGGACATAAATCTGTGCATTTTTAATAAAATTTAAACTATGAAATGCAACAATTGTACATGCCAACACTAGCAAGCATCTCTAATGGAAAATCTCTTAACTTTTTGGGAAACAAATGATGCTGTCCGGCATTGCTGTCCTTCCACAATTGTTGGTGTTATTCTGAAACTATACGTACATTATAAGAATCTTAGTGTGTGTATATATGTGTGTATGTGTTTTAGTGTGTTTAAGAGGTACTAGATTTCTCATTCTGTTCTTCTATAAGCACTAATTTTTATCATTATGTTCACTATGTGCCTTTTAGAAATTGCTGAGTAAACACATTTACATTTAATCACATTAATAGATCAAAGGAAATGCCCAAACCATTTACAATCAGTTAATTGCTACAAGAATAATTTGAGACTGTCTGCTGGGTTGTTCTTCCAAAATCATATATGAATTTTCCCCCAAAAAATGTTCGTTATTACTTAGCAATTCTATTTGGCAAGACTTTAGATCTGTCTCATCACCTAATGCACAGGCTCATGCTTCTCTTTGCCAGGAATTACAACTTCCCATTTCAAAGGCTGTATAGACTTTCTAGCATCTTCATTCACATAAATAATGCATTTAGTTTCCCTTACAGAAGGATGCTGCCTGGGATTATTGAGCAGGGGGAGAAATGGAGGGCAAATGTAGAGAAAACAGTGCATATAGTTACTGCTATTAAGTAAACATCAGGTTATTCTTGAAATCCTCTATTATTTTGGGATTGTACTGGTTGTTATACTCAAAAAAATGTAGAGATTTAATTCTTTCCTTATCCACTGTTTCTTCCTTCCACACTTGACAATTTCAAAATGTCTTTGTTCTTTTTTAAGTGTTTGATATTATGTATGGGATTTTATCTATCCATCTGATGCACTAAACTAATCAAGCAGTGTTTCTGTGCTCATTAAGTTAATGTGTTGCATTGTGTGCTTTATAGCAGTTTCAACATGTATGGTATTGATACCAAAATGGGAAGCTCTCCAAGTTTGTTTCAACTTACAAATTGGAGTTTAATAAAAAACAAATCAGTTAAGGCACTCATGATTTGCTGTATGTCAAAACTATGATATGGAAGCATGGCCCTTTCCATATCAAAAGCGATAACCATTTAGTGAGCAGTGAATACTGTTCTTTTGTACAAGAAATCTGGGATGTGATGGAATCTGATAAATGTTGAGTGGTTGATTATGGATGGATTTTTGATTAAAAATCCAT